ATTTGATGGTATCATCCAGTTGGGCTTAAATCATACAAATAAAGACAGCATTCGAGATCATACAAAACTTCAGCAACATTCCAAATAGTTTAGAGCCTTTATGACGTCACAACTGACGTATTATTAGTAACGTCATATACAATGGACCTATTCACAATAAAAACCATGTTTTGCTAGATATTTATTTCAGAAAATGTTTATTCTTAAGGTGTTTTTCCACAATAAGCGTTTTAAACGAACAATAAATTGCTTTTCTCGCATATTTTGTGAAATGTATAGTTTTTTATTGGTGTATGAATTAAATGTTAACGATTGATTCACAAATTAGTGATTATTTGATGCATTAAAATTTAAATATAAAATCAAATTTCATATTGGCCACACCCACGAACAACAACGATAATAAGCATAAAGATTTGCATCGGCAATATCTATATCTATGGTAAGTATAAAAGTTGTTCTTGACTGTGGCCACATCTAACTTTGGGAAAATCTGTCAAAAAATCGGCATTTTTTAACGTTTTTATCACACCGTCTCATGTTCCAACCGTCGCACGTGCCTAATGGCGCATTATTTAACAAAATACGTTACGTATGGAAAACAAGTATGTTGTCCTCTAACATTTAATGTATGGTACTCTTTTTGATTCGAAACTTTATTTTTGTGAAAAACACAGGGCCAAATTTGATGGTTCGTGGCTTTAGCTCTTTAAGAATACTATTAATTTTAACAGGTAGTCCGATAATTAACTCATTCTATCATTACTGAAAAAGTTCTTATTGTAAACTTGGAAGAAAAGGATGAGAGAGCAGTACAATTAATCCCCTGGGATTAATTATCTTGTCTGGGGCAGAACATTTTCCAGGCTTATCTTTATTTGTCACTTTAAGATAAATTAACCATTGTGTGCAACTGATGTTTGTTTTGAAGTTAAAGTCAAGCCTGGGTGATATTTGCATTCACTGAAGGCTGGCATTTTATAAAACACATTTTTTATTCTTCTTTGAATATACATTTAATTGAGTTATTGTAGATATGATGTTTTTTACTGCCTTATTAGGTCACCTGAGTCACTCAGGTGACCTATTGCTATCTGTTTTCGTCTGTCGTCGTGCGTCGTCAGTTAACTTTTGAACATTTTTAACTTCTTCTCTAGAACCGCTCAACCAATTTCAACCAAATTTGGTATATAGCATCTATGGGTGAAGGGGAACAAAAATTGTGAATTTCATGGTCCCTGCCCCCCTGGGGCCTGAGGGGTGGGGCTAAAACCACCAAAAATAATGCAATCTTTAAAAATCTTCTTCTTTACTCCTGGACATCAAGCAGTCAAACTGTTGGCATGATTGTAATAAGCATTGAGCCCTCTACCAAAATTGTGAAATTCATGGCCCCAGGGTCAGGGGTTCTGGCCCCAGGATGGGGCTATATAGATCATATAGTGAAAGTGCATTATTTCTTTGAAAATCTTCTTCTCTGCTCCTGGGTATTAAATAAAGTTACTTAGTACAAAGTTATGATGAGCAAGAGTGCCTTTTCCAAAATTGTGAAATTCATGGCCCCAGGGTCAGGGGTTGTGGTGTTAGGGCGTGGCTCTATAGATTATATAGTGAAAATGCATTAATTCTTTGAAAATCTTCTTCTCTGCTCCTGGGTATTAAATAAAGGAACTAAGTACATAGTTATGATGAGCAAGAGTGCCTCTTCCAAAATTGTGAAATTCATGGCCCCAGGGTCAGGGGTTCTGGCCCCAGGGTGGGGCTCTATAGATTATATAATGAAAATGCATTAATTCTTTGAAAATCTTCTTCTCTGCTCCTGGGTATTAAATTAAGGAACTAAGTACATAGTTAATATGAGCAACAGTGCCTCTTCCAAAATTGTGAAATTCATGGCCCCAGGGTCAGGGGTTGTGGTGTTAGGGCGTGGCTCTATAGATTATATAGTGGAAAAGCATTAATTCTCTGAAAATCTTTTTCTTTGCTCCTGGGTATTAAATAAAGTAACTAAGTACATAGGTATGATGAGCAAAAGTGCCTTTTCAAAAATTATGAATTTCATGGCCCCAGGGTCAGGGGTTCTGGTGTTAGGGCGGGGCTCTATAGATTATATAGTGAAAATGCATTAATTCTTCGAAAATCTTCTTCTCTGCTTCTGGATATTTAATAAAGTAACTAAGTACATAGTTATAATGAACAAGAGAACCTTTTCCAAAATTGTGAAATTCATGGCCCCAGGGTCAGGGGTTCTTGTGTTAGGGCGGGGCTCTATCAACTATATAGTGAAAATGCATTAATTCTTTGAAAATCTTCTCCTCTGCTCCTGGGCATTAAGGTGATAAACTAAGTACATAGTTATGATGAGGATGTGGGCCTCTTCCAGAATTGTGAAAGCCATGGCCCCTGGGTCAGGGGTTCTGGTGTTAGGGCGGGGCTCTATTGATTATATAGTGAAAATGCTTTAATTCTTTGAAAATCTTCTTCTCTGCTCCTGGGTATTATTTAAACAAACTAAGTGCATGGTTATGATGCATAAGGATGCCTTTAAAAAAATTGTGAATTTCATGGCCCCAGGGTCAGGGGTTCTGGTGTTAGGGCGGGGCTCTATTGATTATATATTGAAAATGCATTGATTCTTTGAAAACCTTCTTCTCTGCTACTGGAGACTATTCAAACAAACTAAGTGCATGGTTATGATGCATAAGGATGCCTTTTCAAAAATTGTGAATTTCATGGCCCCAGGGTCAGGGGTTCTGGTGTTAGGGCGGGGCTCTATTGATTATATAGTGAAAATGCATTGATTCTTTGAAAATCTTCTCTGCTACTGGAGATTATTTAAACAAACTAAGTGCATGATTATGATAGACAAGGATGCCTCTTCCAAAATTTTTAAATATATGGCCTCAGTTTTTGGGGTTCTTGAGGAGGGGGGGGGGCTCTATTGATTATATAGTGAAAAAGCATTAATTTTATTAATTAATCATTAATTAATCCTGTCTGCTCCTTAGTGTTGAGCTGATAAATAAATTGCTTAGCTATGATGAAAATGGGAGCTTTGAACAGAATTTTTAAATCTTGTGGTTCTAGGGTCAGGGGTTCTGGCATAACGAGGGGGGGGGGGCTTTTGATAATATAGTGAGAAGTGTTAATTCTTTGAAGTCCATAGTTATGATGATGAGGGTAACTCTTCTAAATTTGTAAATTTCTTGACCCTTGGTCTTGGGTTCTGGTGTTAGGGTAAGGCTTTGTTGAATCTGTAGTGAAAATGCATTGTACCTGTGAAATTCTTCTCTTCTTCTGGGCATATCGGAAGCAAACTGAGTAAAAGTTTAAATGATATGAGTAAGCGTATTTCTACCAGATTTTTAAACATCTGGACCATTCATCTAAGCATTCTGGTCCTGGGCAGGGCTCTATTAATTTGTATTCTACTGAGATAAGTTATTCCCCTTTTCCATTCACCTTTGATAATTAATCACTGTAAATAATGTATTTGAAAGGTTAATAGAATAAGATAATTATGCAAGAATGTTTATCGTATAATTAAAAAAGTACTTTCTTAGTTTTAATAATCAGGTAGATCTGTAAGTAATAGATAAATAAAATTGAGACAAAAATAACTTATCTTATTAAAAGTTCTTCAAAGACCATAAGAGAGGTCAATGCTAGAGGTCTTAATATGGGTTTAAAAATAGTACAGAAGCACTAGTAGTTTGTCAATAGTCTGCATGGTGTTAGTTTTAAGTGGGGGACAGATTAGAACTTAATTTATGAGTTGATACTGAATACTAGACTAATTATTTTGTTGATCCTGATCTTCCTACTTCTCTTGCTTTAGGGCAACAAAGCTTCATCTATCAGTGTATTTAACTTCTAAATTGTTGTATTATACTCAGGTGACCGTTAAGGCCCTTGGGCCTCTTGTGTTAATACAGGGATACTCTTTACAGGTTGTTGGATATTTAGGAATTATCTTGAAATTTTATAAATACAATTGTTATTGCATATTCTTCTTCATATATTTTTTAATTTTTGTTATCAATTAAAATTCTCATTCTGTAAGCTGCACCCTTATATTTCTACCCCTTGGCAGGGCCCTTGCTGACTGGTCAGTTTTCTAGTTTTCTCCTAGTTTTTCACCCAATATATATTATACATGTATATAAAATTTATTACCTATTTTGTGATGTTTGGAATATATTTTACAGAAGGAATCCATTTTAATTATGAAGGGAAAATTTTGATTGTTAATTTTATAGAAAAATTCTGGAATTCAAAAGTGCCTCCCACATCTAATTTAAAAAAGCCTTCCACCCTCATCTGTTTTTAAGACTGGAGGGTTTTAAGGAATGCATATGTCACCTGCAATAGCATCATTAAAGATACAAGTAAAGCTAAGGGTGTTAAGCTATCTATTTATATGCTAGTATAACAGTTCTTGCATTTGCCTGCAAAGAAAAAGATATTCATGGAAAATGACTGCATTTATACAGTATATTATAATCTACAAGAGTTCGTTTATTCATGTAAATGTACTTGTTTAAAAAGAATAGCTAGGATTAAAGTTAAGATGTAAAATACTCAAATGTTATTGGTAGAGTAATTTTGGAAAAACCATATTATTACACCCTTTGTATAAAAATTATGATTTCACATGCATCAGTGGGTATCAAATTACAGTGTGTTTTCAGTTCATTATACATGTAGTTTTTGGTATGATATCAAAGAAAGTTTGAAAACTGTCCTGTTTTACTCGGTTTCATAAAGTGACATTTTGAGAATACAGTATGTATTTGAGAGTAGCAGTTGAAAATCTCACCTTGAGACAAGAAGAGTCAGCTGAGAATTCAGATACCAAGAATTTCCTTTAAATTGCAATGCTCAGGCAGTTCATGTACATGTGTATTGACAAGAATTATCTATAGCTACATGTATATAAATATATAATACTTATTGAAATACATATTGCTTTTATTTAAATGGAATTTTGCAAATTTCAGGCAAAAACAGAGATGTTGGATAACTTGATGGAGATAGAAGTAGCCTATAGCTTACTGAAGGGAGGGGATGCTGGGGAGGATCCCATTGATGCTCATTATAAGAAACTTAAAACCCATATGGAGGTTTGTCTCATGGCTCATTATACATGTAAAAAACTTAAATCTCCCATGGAGGTTTTTCTCAATTCTCATTATAAAAAAACTTAAAACTGACATGAAGGTTTGTCTCAAGGCTCATTATAAGAAACTTAAAACCCACATGGAGGTTTGTCTCAAGGCTCATTATAAGAAACTTAAAACCCACATAGAGGTTTGTCTCAAGGCTCATTATAAAAAAACTTAAAAACTCACATGGAGGTTTTTCTTAAGGCTCATTATAAGAAACTTAAACTCACATGGAGGGTTGTCTCAAGGCTTATTATTAAAAAAACTTAAAACTCACATGGAGGTTTGTCTCAAGGCTCATTATGAGAAACTTAAAACTCGCATGGAGATTTGTCTCACGGCTAATTATAAAAAACTTAAAACTCACATGGAGGTTTGTCTCAAGGCTCATTATGAGAAATTTAAAACTTGCATGGAGATTTGTCTCACGGCTCATTATACAAAACTTAAAACTCACATGGAGGTTTGACTCTAGGACCATTATAAAAAAAAACTTGAAACTCGCATTGATGTTTGCCTCAAGGCTCATTATAAGAAACTTCAAACTCGCATGGAGGTTTGTCTCAAGGCTCATTATAAAAAAACTTAAAACTCACATGGAGGGTTGTCTCAAGGCTCATTATAAGAAACTTAAAACTCACATGGAGGTTTGTCTCGAGGTTCATTATAAGAGACTTAAAACTCACATGGAGGTTTGTCTCAAGGCTCATTATAAAAAAACTTAAAACTCACATGGAGGTGTGTCTCAAGGCTTATTATAAAAAAAACCTTAAAACTCACATGGAGGTTTGTCTCAAGGCTCATTATAAGAAACTTAAAACTCACATGGAGGTGTGTCTCAAGGTTCATTATAAGAAACTTAAAACTCACATGGAGGTTATTCTCAAGGCTTATTTGAAAAAAACCTTAAAACTCACATGGAGGTTTGTCTCAAGGCTCATTATAAAAAATTTAAAACTCGCATGGAGGTTTGTCTCAAGGCTCATTATAAGAAACTTAAAACTCACATGGAGGTTTGTCTCAAGGCTCATTATAAAAAAACCTTAAAACTCACATGGAGGTTTGTCTCAAGGGTCATTATAAGAAACTTAAAACTCACATGGAGGTTTGTCTCAAGGTTCATACATGTACAGCTTAAAACAAATATTTACTAATTGAGTTTTTGATGGTAATAAAGACAGATGTTGGAATTTTTATTAAACTTTTGGTTGTAAAAAAGTTAAGCAAGCTATATAATATTACTTGTTTCATACATGTATATCGTTGATTTCATGTACCATTTTTTGGTTATACAAGTTCAACACTGTTTTGATATTAGGAAATACCGTTTAATGGGTTTTAAATAGTGCACCTTTTTATCCATTTTAGCCATTGGATAAAACCTGTGAGGAGTTCAAGAGGATTTGTGAATATGTCAAAAACACTCATGCTGCCACCCATAATCAGTATGACTTACAAGTCCAAGAGGTAATTCTTCTCTAATAAGAGATGTAAAAAAAATCCCCACATGATTAATGATACAGTGATTGTAGGGATCTGTTCTTTATCTCAAAATTCTTCTTGTACATGTACTTTGCAGGTATTTAAAGTTGAAAGAGAGGATGAGGCAGATAGGTATGCCCCATTTAAGGACCTGCATAATAGACAGCTTCTGTGGCATGGCTCTCGTACAACCAACTTTGCTGGAATTCTTTCACAGGGTCTGAGAATTGCCCCACCAGAAGCACCTGTGGTAAGAAATGACGAGATGTAAAATGATCTTGACCTCTGGTAACCAAATAGAGTTGAAAAGTAGTCCAGTGAGGAGACAAATGAGAAATTTTTAAGTATCTTCCTATAAACACCCCCACCCCCCTTAAATAGTATATGTGAAAAAATTGAGAAAAGGTTGTAAAAAAATAAATATTGATTTAATATTTACATTTGCAAATGTTTTCCCTGATATAACATTATTTGACAAGGTGTATTTACATCTCTGTATAAACAGGTTCCTCACAGGGCCATAAATTCATTGTTTAGTCATAAATGATCGACATAATTTCATAGTGACATCATAAATGGTTGACATATTCAACACATTTAATTTACATGTATACCATTGAGGTTTGAAAAAATAAATAATTTCATGGTTTTAAAACTATAGTATCCAAATATTTGTTAAAAACTAGTCACAAATGTAAATATGAGATAAGGTATTATTTAAAAACTTTTTTCAGGATGTAAAAAAAATGTTTAAAAAATCTAGATTTCATGAAAAGCTGTAAACTTAGACACAATGTACGAAAGGAAATAGTGCTAAGAAGTTAAGCAGGAGTTGAAAGCAAATTTATATCAAATAATGTAACATAGTAACATGATACCGTATACAGGGTCATTTTTTGTCCTTTCGTGATTGCAAACAATTGTGCTTAAGCACAGCTATGTAAAAGAATTTAAATTCGCCCCTATTTGCAACTAGAGCAAAAGGAACAAAGATTTCCCTGTTTACAGTATTTACTTTGACATAGAGATTTATAGATTTAAATATGTGAAATTTTGTAGACTGGTTACATGTTTGGTAAAGGTATCTACTTTGCTGACATGGTATCAAAGAGTGCCAATTACTGTAGGACAACCAAGGCTGACCCCACAGGTATCCTATTGCTGTGTGAGGTGGCCCTCGGTAACATGTAAGTATTAAGGATTTTTAGCTCTTCTGAGCCAAAGGCTCAAAGAGCTAATGCTATGGCCATTTGTGCGGTGTGCGTAAACTTTTTAGAATATGGGCCATAACTCAAGAACCCCTTGGCCAATTATTGTCAAATTTGTCACAGGGTATCCTTGGCCCAAGGGCTCCCTTTTATACTAAAACTGGGGTTGTGACCCTTTAACAAGGGGAGATAATTAGGAAAATAGAAACAAAAGTACTGGTTGCTAAAAAATCTTCTTCTCAAGAACCACTGGGCAGATTATCACCAAACTTACACAAAAGGATGAGGATATGTTGTAGATTAAAATTTGCACGGGGATTTACCCTGGGGCAAAGGGTGTGGTCTCAAGGTCACTTCAAAGTTGACCAAAAATTACATTTTATTAAAATGTTGATATTTTGCTTACTATAAGGACTAGGATCATCAAATCTTGTCAGTTGGTGCATCTAAGGACCTCATATCATGTTGACTCAAAAGTAGGTCACAGTGACCTACTTTTAAAATTTTGCGGCCATTCTTTTTCAAAATGATTTAGAGGCATATTTTGAACAATTTAAGGCCTATGATCATCAAACTTTGTCAGTTGATGCATCTTGGGTCCTCAAAGTATGTCAACTAAAAAGTAGGTCACCTTGACCTACTTTTTGAATTTTATGGCTAATCTTTTTTAAAACAATTAAGGTCATTAATTCGAATACGGGGAGGCTTAGAATCATTAAATCTTGTAAGATGATGCATCTTGGGGCCATAAAACATACTTATTAAAAAGTAGGTCACAGTGACCTACTTTTTGAACTTTGCAGGCATTCGATTTCAAAGCGTTTTAGAGGCATAATTTGGACATTTTAAGTCCTATGATCATAAAACTTTGTAAGTTGATGCATCTTGGGTCCTCAAAAAAGGTCAACTGAAAAGTAGGTCACCGTGACCTACTTTTCAATTTATATGACTATAATTAAATATTTCAGGTACTAATTGGCTTAGAATCATCAAACTTTGTCAGTTGATGCATCTTGGGTCTTCGGAGTAGGTTGACTAAAAAGTAGGTCACAGTGACCTACTTTTGAAAATTTATGGCGTTAATTAAATATTTCCGGTACTAATTGGCTTAGAATCATCAAACTTTGTCAGTTGATGCATCTTGGGTCTTCGGAGTAGGTCGACTAAAAAGTAGGTCACAGTGACCTACTTTTGAAAATTTATGGCGATAATTAAATATTTCGATTACTAATTGGCTTAAAATCATCAAACTTTGTCAGTTGATGCATCTTGGGTCTTCAGAGTAGATCGACTAAAAAGTAGGTCACCGTGACCTACTTTCGGAAAATTTATGGCTTTAATTAAATATTTCTGGCACTAATTGGCTTAGAATCATCAAACTTTGTCAGTTGATGCGTCATGGGTCTTCGGAGTAGGTCGACTAAAAAGTAGGTCACTGTGACCTACTTTCGGAAAATTTATGGCTTTAATAAAATATTTCGGGTACTAATTGGCTTAGAATCATAAAACTTTGTCAGTTTAGGCGTCATGGGTCCTCGGAGTACAACAACTGAAAAGTAGGTCACGGTGACCTACTTTTGAAAATTTATGGCTTTAATCAAATATTTCGGGTACTAATTGGCTTAGAATCATTAAACTTTGTCAGTTGATGCGTCTTGGGTCCTTGGAGTACAACAACTGAAAAGTAGGTCACTGTGACCTACTTTTGAAATTTTATGGCTGTGTTTAATATTTTCAGGAATTATTTGGCTTAGAATCGTCAAAATTTGTCAGTTGATGCATCTTTGGTCCTCGGAGTAGGTTGACTGAAAAGTAGGTCACTGTGACCTACTTTTGAAAATTTATGGCTATAATTAAATATTTTGGGTACTTATTGGTTAGAATCATCAAACTTTGTCAGTCGATGTATCTTTGGTCCTCGGAGTACAGCAACTGAAAAGTAGGTCACGGTGACCTGACCTACTTTTGAAAATTTATGGCTTTAATTAAATATTACAGGTACTAATTGGCTTAGAATCATCAAACTTTGTCAGTTGATGCATCTTGGGTCCTTGGAGTAAAAAAATTGAAAAGTAGGTCACTTTGACCTACTTATAAAATTTTATGATTATAATTTTAAAAAATATTTTAGGTATTAATTGGCTTAGAATCATCAAACTTAGTTGATGGGTCCTCAGAGAATGACAAGTGATAAGTAGGTCACCATGACCAACTCTCAGGTACTAATTGGCTTAGAATCATCTTGGGTTCTCAGAGTGTGAATTGGAATTTCAAGGGTTTATGTAAATATACAGGATGCTTCGAGGCTTCAAATAGAAGTGATAGGTTGTACAGTTTATCAGAAGAGCGATTCAAGGCCCATGGGCCTCTTGTAAATAATGTAATGTACATGTTTGTTTAGTGTATATGATTGTAACGACTTTAACACTGATCAATGCCCTGAAAGTTTCAGTAAAATTTGTTTTATTTTTGGGAAGAAGGCAGTTCAAAAAGATATTTGCAGAATGTAAAATGCCTCAATCTTTCTTGTTAAAGGTATGAGAGACCACATGCAGATTATATTGATAAACTACCAAAAGGGAAGCATAGCTGTAAAGGTACATTAGTTACTTCACTCTCATTATAATAATTTTTTAGTGACATTCTAATGTTTAGGTTGCCCAAAGATTGCTGTTTTAATATCTGGTTGTACATTTGGTAACCTCTTAAGGGAGGTAATAAAAGAGATTTATTCCCTCTTGCAAATTTCTCTAAGTGTGCTCTTTGTCACATTGTTTGCAAGATTGCCAAGTGCATTTTAAAATTATGGTAGTTCAAATGATGAACTCCTTAGTCAGTTTCAGAGACAGTTATTAATCAAATGATTACTGTAGATTCCTAAATATACGCGAGGAATTAATTATCGCGTAATAACGCGTGAAGCATCACTTGCGAAATAAAATTACCCGCTTTTATTTCTTTATAGTGCTGAAATCAATGTAAAATCTCGAGATAAACCATCTACTTGCGAATTACTGTTCTCGCGATTTGACGTTAAAGACCCATTTTGCGGAAAAAAAGTACTCGCGAAAAATAAGGAATCTACAGTACTAGAAGGTAGCAAACATATAGGAATCACCTTATCTGTCTATCTATCTACCTGCTCATGCAATTGTGTTCATACCATAAATTGTAATAGAGAATCATGGAAAGCTTGTAATTGACACAGATTGCTTATGATGTGAAAGTATGAAATGTCCTTATTCCAAGGTCAGTTAGACAATTCCAAGGTCATTGGCAGAAAAATATGATTCTCTTTTTCAGTGTATAATATATTAGCATTGGAAGATTATGCTTAAGACAAAGATGACTTATGAACAGATAGTGTTTCATGACCTTTGCTCATGCAAGATTATTTGTACTACATATAGTTGAAGGTTACTGGCAAAATATGTAATATTGCTCTTGTGGGGATATATGGGTTGGAGAAACATGGACCATATCTTTGCAAAGAACAAACATTTCAAGCCCATAATAGGGAAAAGCTGGCTTTTGAAGATGTCTCAGGACTGTGATCCAAGTCATTTAGACAAGGTCAAGTCACAGACAGAAATCAGATAGTTTGAATTTCTGTTTGTCAGTATCTTTGTAATTGGGGAATTGGAAGCTCATAACTTAAAGAACGATTGCTTATGGCTTAGATGTGTATTGGCATGGTGAATCATTTTGTGAGCTCCCTCCAGTCCAGTTTGTCTAGTTGATTAGATTATTCTTCTTTGTACAGCTTACACAGCTTACACAATGCCTGCCACAGAAGTTCATATCTGCGTAAATTATTCTCATAATCATGAACCCAATTATAAAGTAACTTTTGTGTTGCCTTAGGTTACAGGCATCAGAATCGGACTATTGTTTTTCATATCAAACCTTGTAGGGTGAAAATGAAACTTTGCTTTTTAAACTGTGTCTGGGATGTATAACTGTTCAATCTGATACTATAAAGTCCTTAGTAAAGTCCTAAATACTCTCAAATTTCCCTGTTCAATTTTTATTTAAGATTTAAAAAAAAACAGAGATAATTCCATATCTGTTTATGTTGAACAACTTCAATAAGTTACATGAACTGTAGATTGTATTTTAGTTGATTATTCTATGTATACTCTTTTTCAGGCATGGGTATGACTTGTCCAGATCCCAAAGGTGCCTATACAACACCTGATGGTGTAGTTATTCCAATGGGAAAGGGCACTAACTCTAGCTGTGGCCACACCAGTCTTTTGTACAATGAGTATCCTTTTTATATAGTAAATATGATTTACAGTGTATCAGGTATTTCTTTGGGTTTTCCAATTTTTTGTATCAATTACCACTGAAATTACAATGATAAAATCACAGTTAATAAAACATTGAATTGTGTATCTTCATGGTGTTCATTTGATGTACTAAGTACAGCATCATAAATGATATTAAATAATTTGACATTTAGAAATTCAGTAAAAAAATATTAAAGTAGTAGATATTATAGCCGAAGATATTAAATTAGTAGATATTATAATAGATGATATTAAGTTAGAATTTGGAATTTCATTTATTGAATGTCAGATGGTTTATTTTTTGAGATAAGATTATTCGTGTAAAAATGTTCTTGTAATAACCTTGAAAATTCATTTAAAATATCTAATCTTCAACTGTGCATACTACACATGTGTATCAAGATTAATCTGCAGCATAAAGTACAATTAAAATAATTCAGGAAGAATACACCAAGTAAAAACTTAATAGAGAAAGTCACATAAATATTAAAACATTTTCCTGAACCTTTCTTTAGATTCATTGTCTATGATGTGGCACAGGTAAACATGAAGTACTTGCTTCGAACAGAGTTCAAATACAAGTGGTGATATAAAGTAATCAAAATAAGACTGGAAGAGATCTGTTCTGCACTGTTTTGACCTAGACTGCACAGTGGTTGTGAAAGAAGCAGATGTTTTGAACATGTATCTGCTGACAAATGCATAATAAGGCTTTTGTTATAAGTGTTTTTAGATTCTTATTATGTACTTTTAGTTGGCTTTAGATTAAACTCTTGCAGAAGAGTGTTTAAATCAAACTACATGAGTTGATAAATGCTATTTGCAGGGTTACTAGTAAATTACAGAAAATTATGATTTCTTTGAGGTTTAAAAGAAACAGTTTTGCTCTCTTTACAACCAAACAAGTTCAATAAAAATATCAACTTCCAAATTTACATTGTGTCTATACCTTGGGTATAACAAGGCAAATTTGGGTTTTTGTCCCGATAAACAAGAAATTCAAAAGCAGGATGTCAATATGGATAATAACTGAACAATGAAAATTTTTCTTTGGCCAAAAATAAACATTTGTACAGATCGAGATACTGAGTGATTTGTTTTAAAGTTACTAGAATGTGAAGAGACTAAGAATCCACTAGTTGTCTAGGCATTATTTTTCTGTGACCAGATTTAAATGGCTTATGATTATGTGTTGATTTTTGATGATTTTGTTAATGTGAAAATAAAAGCTGACATTTACATTTTTTTGTTGTTCATTGCAGAAAACATAAACAGTTGACAAGTTTAAGTAAACCTGAGTATATGATTTTGATTATTTTCATCCTTTTGTTGCCATGAAAAGGACTTATTCCCTAGCTAATTTTGAATTGCATAAGCCACAGTAAAGGTTGAAAAAAGTATGGCAGTTTTGTTAAAAAATAATAGAATGAATTGGTCAGAAAAGATGAGAAATAATGATAAATAGGTCTTTTTGCAGTATGAATTCATTTCCCCCAAGTCCTCTCCAGGAAAGCAAGAATATAAGTCAAACTGATATATGGAGTTTTTAGTTCACCTGAGCCAAAGGCTCAAGCGAGCTTTTCTGATAGAATTTTGTCAGTCCTTTGTTATCATTTCACGTTTTATTTTTTTTTTCTCCAGACACCAATTTTAACCCAACTTGCCACAAAGCATCCTTGGATGAAGGGGAAATGATGAGCCATGTCCTCTTTCAAAGGAAGATAATTAATAATTCAATTGTATCTTTTAAAAAAAAATCTTCTCAAGAATAAAAGGGCAAGAAAAGTTGAAACTTGTATGAAAGCTTTATTATTGTAGATTAAAGGATATGGGTGAACAAGGCGCACAGAACGCCTATAGCTTCAGATATATAAAAATCATATTCAATTTGTGAATTTAGTATTAAGAGTAAAGTTAATATTATTGAAATTCCTGAAATTATGATAGCACTTTTGTGAGGAAATTTTTCTGGGCAAATTTTTTTCTGTTATTAAAATATTGTGGTTCTCGCTGGGTTCGAACCCAAGCAATAAAAATCCTGACTATCATTTTCCTATGAGACCAACACGCTAACCACTACGCTATACAGCTCTTGACGAATAGTGGCATTTAAATCATGTTTGTGATATAACCCTTGAATACATGGACCTCAAGTATTTCTCGGATAGATGCGAATGTTGTGTCATAAAAGTGTATTTTTAAGGTATAGTGGGTCTTTGCTCGATGTTTTTGTTTACCGAAAATTCTACATTTTTTATGCAAGCTTTGAGAATAAACTTTCAAAGAAATGGAGCAAAGACCCACTCATATCAAAAAATTGTGTTATAGTATGGGAAAATGATCCTTTTTGCCCACTTTAGTGTGTGTATGCTATTTCATAGGTAAATAATTTAAATCTTTTCGAGATTTTTGCATATTGTGGAGATTTTTCATAACGTATACTTTAAGGACAGATGAAATATCAAAGAAAATTTTGTTATAACTGAGATTCAATTTTGCAGTGCGCTCGCCTTGTTCGCCCATCTCCTTTGTTCAGACCATGACCCCATTGTGTATAGTGGGGCCACAATAGGTGATCAATGTTTTACATAGTATAGGAATATATACGTGTACTGTAGTATAGTAGTAAAAAATCTGAAGAACAGCAAAGCATGATTGGTCATACTGATATGGAAGAATACCCAGGTAGCATAGATTCCAAGTTTTTTTTTTTCTCCAAATTATAGCCACATGGGGTAGGTTGGGGCAATGAGTGATCAAAGTTTTTACATTGGATTATATAGGGAAAACAATCTTTGTAAATCTCAAGAACAGCAAAGCCATAATTACTCACATGGAAACATCCTCTGTTAGTTAGATTCATATTTGTTTAAATCGAGACCCTTTGGGAGGGTGGGACAACAACAGGGAATTAAAGTTTTACATTGGAATAAATTTGTAAAGATCTTTTAAAAACTTCTCAAGAACTGTGTAGCCATGATTAGTCATACTAATATGGAAGCATCCATAGGTAGTGTAGATTCGAGGTTGCTCAAATCATGACCCTTGGGGGTAGGGTGTGGCCACAGTTGGTGACCAAAGTTTTAGGTAGGAAAAGATGGGGGAAAATCTTCTCAAGAACAGCAAAGCCATGATTAGTCATATTTATATGGTTCAATTAGGGTAAGGTGGTGCCACAGTTTTAGATAGGAAAATATAGGATTTTTTTTAAAATTGCCTTTAAAAACAGCAAAGCATTTATTGGCCATGTTGCTATGCAAGCATCCTCATTTTGTTAAGATCAAATAAAGGCAAAGTTGATCAAATTGAAGGATCCAAATGTTTTTGATTAAATCATAGCTCCCTTTGGGCTAGATTTTGGTCCACGAAACGGAGTCAAAATTTTTATGAAATTATTAAAAGAGGGAAAAAATCTGCTGAAGAACAGGATGGCGTGCGAAGGAAAATTTAACAAACACCAAATTGGCTTCACTTTTCAAGGGTTTCTAGACGTTTCTGAATGTCGCCTGCATCGTTTGGCGATAAAAAAAACATGATAATTTGGACATATCCATGCACAGTTATAAAGTCTTTTCATCGGAAGAGTCATTTTACACAAACCTCTATTTGATGTATCTGCAAACATTTTCATGCACCTGTAATCGGAGATTCGGGGGCATATAGGTTTTGGACTGTCTGTTTATCTGTCCACAAAAAACTATAAAACTTTGCCAGTAACTTTTCAACAGTTGGTGCTAGGGCATTCATATTATACATGCATGTATATTGCTTGTGATGTTTTTGGGGTGTACCAACACTTTTGACTTTGAACGTCGAGTTTGACCTTTTTTTTGAAAAACTAAACTAACTTTAACCTTGGCCATGACTTCTAAATGGTTGGTGTTAGAGCTTTCAAATTTCACATGCATATCCCATGTGACAAGACCTTATTTTGGGTACCAACATTTTTGACCTTGTGACCTTGGAGTTTCACTTGTGAAAAACTTGACCATTCTTGCCAACATTTTTGACCTCTTGACACCATTTTAAGGAGAACTTTTATCTTGGACCATAAGCTTCCCGGGGGCATCAGTGTTCCACAAACACATCTTGTTTTTTTATTATTACATGTATTGCCATGCATAATAACATGAATATATAAAATTTTTCAAATACAAAATAAAACTAGTGGTTGAAATTAAGTGATATATAGAATACCAATTATTAGGACGGTGCTCTTGAGCTATGTTGTATTCAAGTGTATGTCAGTTTAGTTTGACTTCCTATGATATAGCGGATACAGGTAATATAAATTAGTATCTTAAAGTTTTAATAGTAGTTTAACAGCTAAGTCACTTGTTGTGATATTGAACACTTCACATATAAGTAGATTCCGCTACTCCATCTCTGTCATATTTCCCATTTACTATAGTGGAACCTTTCTGTGTTTGCACTCCGTTTTCTTTCTCATTGGAAGTGTATCCAGCATTAACAAACCCACTATCAGTCAGAGACTTTTCTTTTTCTACTGGCTCTGGAACTTCTTCTGATTTTGCTGGTTCTTTCCAGAAGATCATGGCAAGGATAAACATGGTTCCACTGAAGACTTTGACACAGGACCACCAAGCAAACAGTCGCCAGCTCATTTCATACCTGTCATACACCCCACAAGATCCGCGCGTCCCACACAGGTCTTGCCAAAGTCCACACGCGGTGTCTATGACGTAACCTGTCAGCACAGGGCCGGGGATCGTACCTGTGAAAATTATTTTTGTTAGACATGCGTTTTTACTATGACACAAAAATGACTCCTGTAATTAAAAAAAAATACCTAAAAGTCTAAGTACCACCCACTGCATTCCAAGGGCAAGAGCTCTGTGTTCATCTGGTACACACCTGTAAATTGACCAAAAAAGGGAGGTCAATAGTGAAAAACACCCTATGAAGTAAACT